CCTGTGTGCCTAGACCCGGAGCGCCAGGCTGGGACCTGGCAGGATCCCACACCAGCTCTGTGTGTGTAGCAGCAACCATGCAGACAGGTGCCAGGCACCAGAAGCGAAAGCATCAATAATTAGAGCATCCTGTTGCCCACACACGTCTCGTCTGGAAACCCTTTCCTGCCGCAGAGCTGACAGCATTATGAGGCCCCGGGTAGGAGTTACGAGGGCTCCGTCTTGGAAGCTGACAGCATTATTAGGCCCCGAATAGGAGTAATGATGGCTCCGTCTTGGAACCTGGCTTCTGCCAAAGAGGGTTGTGAGGTAGTCATCCAGAGGGAGGTTGGTTTGGGTCTTCTTTAGGGGTTTGTGTATTGAGGTGACTAGGGATGCCACCCATACTTTGTCATACATGTTTATTTTTTTAAATTTCTGTATTTGGGACCAGCAGATGGTATAATGGTTATGTCACTGGACTCCCACATGGCTGACCGTGGTTCAAATCCCAGACCCAGCAGCTTGAAATTCATGCCGGGTGTGTGTGTGTGTGTGCATGCCCAAATCCCAAGAGGAGAGTGGAGAAGGGATTGTGGCATGGCCATTCCCCCGGGGGAGATTTCTCACTTTCCGTCTCTCTCTCCAGCGAGCACACACACCCTGTAATCTCTCTTTAAAAAAAAAAAAAAGAAGTTCTGTTTGATCTCCACTCATCAGCCCAGCCTGGAAAGCCGGTCCTGAGCCTCAGGAGTCTGTTTGCCGCCCTCTAGATGCCATCGGTGGGCCTCACCCGTCTCTGCCACCTGCTGACTCGGGCTGTGGGCACGTCTCTTGGTCTCAGTTTATCTTTTTTTTCTTTTCTTTTTTTTTTTTCTTCAGGTTACTGTAGGGCATGTGCAAGAGAGGGACATCCTCTGGGGGTGGCCACACCACAGTCCCCTCTCCTCCATTCTGCTCTTGGAATTGGGGCACGCATGCACACACACCCAGTGTGGTCTTCCGCCCGCCACCAGGTATTGGGCTCGAACCACGCAGTCGGCCCTATGGGACCCAGCTGCCTTAACCACCCTGCCACCAACTGGCCCAGTGTTCGTTTATCCGAAATACTGGAATCATACACATTCCTTCCTTGTATTTACGAGGCTGAAATAAAATGACAGATGTGAAAATGCTTCCCCGGAAAGCTTCATCTGTAGAACTAAGAGTAGAGTAAGCATACAACAGAATATCATCAATATTCTAATAAAACATAGAAACCTATTTCGTCAGCAAGCACGACATCCTCGAACACTTCCCCGAAGGCGAGTGAGGAAACGAACCATTCCTGAGTCCCTCCCGTGGGGCGGGTGTAGGTAGGTTCTAGCTGTCACTGCATCCGCTCTGCAAGGGAGCTATTAGGTCCCAGGATGAAGATGAAGAGACCCAGGCCCCTGGGCACGCCATGTGCAGAGCAGAAGTGGGGTCTGGGCCTGACACCAGGACCTGCGCGCCCTCCCGCCCCACGTTCTCCCCGGTGGCCCGCCCGGTTCCAGTCCCCGAGTCCTTCAGGGCTGCTCACTGCTTCCGGGCCAGGGAGCTTGCTCGCCATCTTGGTCCTCACTCCTGATGGGGCAGGGTGGCATCCAGAGGACCCGCTGGGCTTCAGAGCTCCGCTTTTAGGAGTGGGGCTGGCCGGGCTGACCTACCGCCCAGGACGCAGCTGCTCTCCAGGCCCAGCTCCAAGGAAGTAGCTGTGCCCTGCAGTTTCCGGAGCCCGTTGTTTTTTTTGTCACAGAGCAGCCTCTCGGGTCCCACTTGCACCTTCTCAGCTCACTGAGGGGCAGCGTGGTGGGCAGCCCTGGCCACCTCCTAGAAGTCAGATTAGGTGTAGACTATGTCATGGCCACCCCACTGGCCTTTCCTGGTCGTCTCCCTGTTGACCTTGGTGCCAGGTATGGAGAGGGGCCCTGACGTGGCCGTTCATGAAGTACCAGCGGGACCCACGGCCACCTGCGTCTGTTTTATGTCATCGTCCTTTCTGGCTTGCGAATGGCAGCTGTCCACGCTTAAGAGCGCGCCAGCTGGCGGGCCGGGTTGGGTGAGGACGGCCATGTTGGAGGGCATTTGCTCATCCGGAGGTTCTGAGGGGAGCCGTGTCGTGTTTCCGCAGGTGCTCAACCGGAGGTGTGTGGAAGCGGCCGTGATGACAGGCCTGGCCCTGAACTGCCACATCAACAAGAAGTCCTTGTTCGACAGGAAGCACTACTTCTACGCGGACCTCCCGGTAAGCGTGCGGGGTGACCCAGCCTGCAGGGTGCATGAGGAGGACCGGCTCTTGGGGTCCCCTGGTGCCATCTGTCTCGGCAGGAAGCCCTGTCCAGCCTGATGCAGGCAGCAGCCCACGCTCACCGGATTGGACGCAGCTGTCCTGACCCCTCCTCGCTTGGCCTCCTGCTCCTGGCAGCTCGCTCCTAGGGGGACAGGAGCAGGAGAAGCCAGGGTTCTCTGTGCAGCGCAGCGTGGCCGGGGGTGCAGTGTGATTGCCTGTGAGGACAGAGGCTGTCTCTGTGGCTGGTGCGGCAGTAAATGCCCACTCCAGCCCTGTGGGCGGTTGAGAGCCTCTGCCTCTGAGTCGGAGTTCCCAGCGATGGGGCCGTCGTCACCTTCCGACGAGTGACGAGTGGACGTGAGCAGAGGCGAGGACGGCAGCGTGCACTGCACAGGGGACCGTGCTCCGCTCTTTTCTTCCACATCCACCTACTGGTTTCCTCCATGAGCAAGTGAGACTGAGACAGAGAGGCACCCCTACGGCCTTGATGCCCCAGCGTACCCCAAGCCTCCAGCTGGCCTGCCCGTGGGACACGCTGGCTGCTCACAGAGGTCCTCGCCCCACGTGGGACTGCCTCATGCAGTGGCGTTTTGTCTCACTGGCTTTGCTTTAGGGCCCATGTGCCCACAGAGAGAAAGAGGGACGCTGAGGAAGCACCCGCCAGAGAGGATCGCCACACGCGCCCGGCTTGTTTTTCAAGCCGCTGGGTCTGGGACCTGAACCGTACAGTCTGCCATGTAGGAGCCAGCCGCCTTAACCTCCACACTGCCTGCTGGCCCCAGAGCCTTGCATTTTACCGCTGTGCCACCATCTGGCCCCACCTGCTTTTTTTCTTAGTGTTAGAAAGTTATTTCCTCAGGCCGCGTCAGCGTGAATGAGGCCCAGTTTTTCATGAATCCGAACTGGAACCGAGACATGGGGTGGGCTTCCTGGAGTAGGGTTCCCTGTGCTCAGAGCCTCGGGGCTCTCCTTCAGATTTAGGAACACCACAGTGGTAAGGTTGCTCCACGTCACCCTCCTTGAACTGAAGATCACATGAGCGTCTCTGAGGGTGACGCTAAGAATGGAGTTCAATGAAAAATACAAGAAGCTCCTGCCCCCTCGCATCGCCGTCCTCCCTCCCACCTCACACCAGCTGCCCGCCTTTCTGGAAACTTCTACTTGGTAGGTGGAAAGCATGTGGGGGCCGGATGGTGGCCCAGAGAAAGTGACCCTCGGTGAGACCAGGCCACACGGGAAGGGTGCTGACTCATGCTCAGAGACCTCCCTGCACACGCGTGTCCGTGACCCAGGGCTGGCTGAAGCTGGGGGTGGGTCACAGCATCAGGACCCCATCGAGGGTGCTGTGTCTCTTCTCTCTCTCATTCACTCAGTGGAAGAGAAAAATAATTACTTTTACTTGTTTTTTTAGGTTTTGCTATAGGGCACATGTGCTTGCCAGAGAGAGAGAGAGAGACAGGGAGAAAGTGAGAAATTGCCCCCCACCAGGGGAGAACGGCCGTGTGGCATAACCTTCTCCATTCTCCTCTCGGGATTTTGGGCACGCATGAACACAGCGTGTTTTTCAAGCCCCCAGGTCCAGGACTCGGGCAGCGAAGTTCACTGTAGGATCCAGCCACCTTAACCACCTTAACCAATAAATAGTTTGTTTTTACAAAAAGAATTGAACTGCATTTCTACATCTTTTAAAAATGGTGACCAGTTTGGTTAAGGTGGGAGACTTAGCAGTGTGTGGCTGGAACGAGGCCTTTTGGTGAGCTGTAGCTTTCTGTTCTTTCTGGCCTACGTCGTGCAGAGAGTCCCACCTTCGTGTTGCTGAATACTGCAGTGGGACCTCCTCATGCTAGGAGAACGTCGTGCAGAGAGTCCCACCTTCGTGTTGCCGAATACTGCAGTGGGACCTCCTCACGCTAGGATTGTATTCCTGCGTTAGCTGAAATTCACATTTCGTGGGCATCCCGTATTTCATCCAGCAACTGTATTCACCTGGAGACATCCCGTCCCCTAACTGAGACTTCCCGGCTCAGCACAGAAGATGCGTTAGCCTGTGGGGGTCTCAGTGCCATCTCCCCGGCATCGGCATCTCCTCAGGACTGAGTAGGCATTGTCGTTCTCGGGAGCCAGCAGGTGGCGTAGCAGTTATGTCGCTGGACTACCATGTAGCCAACCACAGTTCACGTCCCAGACTTGGTGACTTCAAACTCACGCCGGGCGGGCAGGCATGTGTGTGTGCGTGCCCAAGATCCCGGGAGGAGATTGAAGAAGGGATTGTGTGGCCGACCCCCTAGGGGGATGATTTCTTGCTTTCTGTCTCTGTCTCTTTGGCAAGTGCACATACCCTATGGAAAAATCTCCCCAGGGGAAAAAAGGAGGAAATATTCATTCTGAGGCCCCACCCCGGAACTACGGAACCGGAATTCCTCAGGCTGGCATCTGGCATCTGCTCCATGGCCTGCTGGTGTTTCTAATGCAGTTATTATTTTTATTTTAAGATTTTTGCCATGAGAGGGTGCATGCGCACACCAGAGAAAGACAGAGAGAGACAGAGAGGGGGAAAGTGAGAAAGCACCCCCCCCAGGGGGCTGGCCATCTCCTCCATTCTTCTCACGCACGCACATGCACCCGGCGTGATTTTCAAGCCACCATGTCCAAGACTTGAAATGTGGAGTCACCATTTGGGGTCCGGCACCTTAACCTCCATGCCACCTGCTGGTGCGATGCAGTTAAAATGTGACACACACACACACACACACACACACCCCGCAGGCTCAGTGACTCGGAGCACAGGAGCAGATACCGAGCTCAGGTGCTGACATCGACCCTTCCTGGCTCTGTGTGTGGCTGTGCACAAGGCCCGTAAGTCCCTGTGCCTTGCACCTGCCCCACAGGGTTGTCATGGGTTTGGTGTGTGTGACACGCTGGCAGCATCTGGGACCTTGCACGTGCCTGAGGTAGTTTGGCTGCCCTTCTCTGGTCTCCATTCCGCCGAGTCCACCTGCTGCCTCTCGCATGTGTCACTGCCTGTGTGCATTGACAGGAATTCCTCTCTTCCCCTGAGAAGGAGGTGAGGGAGACCTGACAGCATCCCCCAGGATTTCAGTACCCTGTGCTTCCCGTTAGCTGAGCACAAGTGTCCCTGCATTTTCTGGCTAGAAGAGCAAGGGACGTGGAGACGGCGGGGTGGCTGGCGTGATGGGTTACTTGAAGAGCAGAAACAAAGCAAGCTGAACCGTGCCCGCGGCTGCCCGCTGTGTGGAGAGGAGAGAGCGGGTGCTCAGCCAGCATTTCCCAACGAGGAGGGCCTGGCAGGGCCCACGAATGAGATGCAGAGTATAGGCTAATGGGCTGAATGGACACACTCAATTACTGTCTTAGGGCCCCTTGACAGTGAGGTTATTGTCCTTCTCCCAGATGGCACTTGGGTGAGGAAGACGGGATTCATGCTGCTCACTGTGCGTCGTTGGCGTGGGGGCTGCTGGGAAGGCTGAGGGTGATGAGAAGATCCAGAAGCCAAGCTAAATTATGGCCGCAGTTGCCTAATCTCATCTTTCTTCTCCTTTTCCCGTTTTCTTTCCTCTTTTTATTGCCTTTTGTTTTCGTCTTGGGTAAGTTTATCGCCGCGTGGCATGGAGAGGGGCAGTCGACTGGGCTGCAGAGGTTTCTCTGGTACGCGCTGCTGTGAGCGAGGCTAAGGCTCTGGAGAGGCCGGGGCTGGATGGGTGGGTCGCCCTCCGGAGCCGGGTAGTGTGCGCACCTGGGCTCACAGCTACTCTGGAGGCTAAGGCAGGAGGGTCCTGACATAGTGAGACTGTCTGGTCAAAATTTTTACATTGGGCCAGCAGGTGGCAAGATCCTTGAGGCTCTGGGCTCCCACATGACAGAGCACAGCTCGAGTCCCGAAGGCTTGCTTTCTCACTTCCCTCTCTTTCTCTCTCTCTCTGTCTCTCTCTGATGTCCCTATCACAAATATAAAACATAATACTATTAGTAAAATAAAATAACTCTTTAAGCATTTTTTAAAAGTTAAAATGATGGTAATAATAAAGGAATAGTAAACGGGACGCCCCGTGACCACTGCGCCTCGTCCGTGTGCAGGCAGGCTACCAGATCACCCAGCAGAGGCTGCCGATTGCCGTGAATGGGAGCCTGACGTACAGCGTCTGCCTCGGGAAGCCACGGAACCAGATGGTCACCAGGACGGCGAGGGTCAAGCAGATCCAGCTGGAGCAGGACAGCGGGAAGAGCCTGCACGACGACCTGAGGTCACAGACGCTGGTCGACCTGAACCGAGCGGGTAGGCCTGGAGTGTTGCATGGCTTTTCCTCCACCCCACGGTTCATGGGTTTTAGGCATCTCTCTCCCCTTCTGGAATTTTCCTAAGCCAGTTAGGAGAAGCGGGCCCAGGAGCCTGGCAGGTACAGAGCAGGATACCAGCCTTGGCCTTGGTGTGGCTGATGAGAGAGCAGGGCTTGCACTGTGGTTGCCATCCGGCCTGCTCACAGGTCACCCTGAAGATGAGACAGATCGTCCACCTAGTCATGGCCCAATTGTGGATATATTAAGCAGACATTAAAAAGAAAAGAAAAAAAAAAAAAAAACAGAAAAGAAAAGATAGGAAGTTAAAAATTCCAAAGTGGGAGGGAAGGGGGAGATGACCCAGAGTAGAACGTGCGGGAATCTGTGACGTGCAGGCTTCTCTGAGCCTGCAGCCTCACCCGCCCGCCCCCGAGACTGAGAGCTCCCGGCAGCCTGACTCTGGCTCTGTTCGGCAGGAGTTGGCCTCCTGGAAGTGGTCCTGGAGCCCGACATGTCCTGTGGGGACGAGGCGGCCACCGCCGTCAGGGAGCTGCAGCTGATACTTCAAGCCCTGGGGACCAGCCAGGCGAACATGGCAGGTAGGTCCCCGACGCAGTGCCCGCCTCCCTTCCCTCCTCCCGTCGCTGGCCAGGTATCCTCCGACTGGTCTGTTCTCTGCCCTCAGCTGTGCTGTATTGGGGTCGTTTATATCCTTGTACAGCCTTCTACACCCTGTTTATTTTCTTTAGAATTTTCCTTAGATTCTTTTCTGAGCCCCAAGCCAAAAATAAACACACACACAAACTCTCGAGTGTGAGGCGAGGAATCAAAGACCAGATCTTTCCACCAGCCTCTCACATCCAGGCTGCGAGGATCAATGAGATACGGGCTCTCAGCAGTTTCATCTTTCTCAGGAAGAAGGCTCAGCGTTTGTCAAGAGCGGCTCTTGGTTAGGGCCTTCTGCTCGGAAAGTGCTGGTGGCCAGCTGCTGCCTCTCCTGTGGGTCTCTCCTCCATCGCTTGTAGAGTTTTCATCCACATATGGCTGAGTTGACTCCAAGCCAAGATTATGATCACACAAAACCTTAATGTTGGGATAAAATCTTAAGTTCATTGGAAATAGGAAGGGTTTTCCACAAAATTCATGGAAAACGTGTTTTATAAAAACCTATGTGTACATTTCAAAAGTTTTTTTTGGTACCAGAATGAACTCATTATATATTTTTTTAATTGCCACAGGGCTTACGCATTCACTGGGCGGAGTGAAGGAAAGGGAGAACTCACCCTCAGTGGAAGGTGGTCATGCCACAGTCCCTTCGCCTCCACCTCTCCTACCCTGTTGGGGTTCTGGGCATTCATGCACATGTGCCTGGTGTAAACCATCACTTCCAGGGTTTAAGCTGTGGTCGACTGCATGGGATCCAGCCTCCCTTATCAGTATGCTTTAGGCTGGCCCTGAACGTGCTCTGTTTTTGTTTTGTTTTTAGAGGGATTTTTGCTATAGGGCATGTGTTCACCAGAGAGACGGAGAGAGACAGAGAGCCAGAAAATGAGAAATCACCCCCTCAGCGGTATGGCCATGCCACAATCCCTTCTCCATTCTCCTCTCAGGATCTTGGGCATGCACACACAGGCACCTGGAGTGAGGTTTAAGGTACTGGATCCAGGACTTGAACCGTGGTCAACTACATGGGAGTCCAACATTGTAACTATGTAACTTTGCCATTTGCTGGTCCCCTGAAATTGTTCTTTAATTATTTTATTTTATTTTATTTTATTTTTGGAGAAGTTCTTGCTATAGGGCGTGTGCGCTCACCAGAAAGACAGAGAGAGACAGAGAGACAGAAAGCGAGAAATCACCCCCCAGGGGGGATGGCCACGCAGCAATCCCTTCTTTATTCTCCTCTTGGGATCTTGCGCACGCACGCACACGCGCCCGGTGTGAGTTTAAGCCACCGGGTCTGGGACTCAAACTGTGGTCGACTACATGGGAGTCCAGCGACATAGCCATTACACCAATGCTGGTCCCTTTCATTCCATTTTTTAATGAGAATTTTTCATTTCAGTTCCCCGGGGCTTTGAATAACCTTCTGCCACACTCAGAACACTCCCTGGTGGAGTGGGGACAGGATGCCTGTTCTGAACGCACGGTGGCCTTCACAGCACAGCCCTGTGGTCAGCGTCGGTGCCCAGTACCTCCCCTCGGCGATGACGTTCATCTCCCTGCTGGTTCCTGATCCCGTCTCCTGTGTCTTTTCACATAATGCCCAATACTTGCATGTTACAGAGGGACTTGGCATTTGCAGTGTCACTTTGATCACAGAGGACATTTCATAAGCAACAGATTGTAAGACCAGGGTGCTGGGGGCAGTCAGCAGGTGGCATAGTGGTTAAATCGCTGGATTCCCACATGGACAATCACAGTTCTAGTCCCAGACATGGTGGCCTGAAACTCAGGTCAGGTGCATGTGTGTGTGCCCCAAATCCCGAGAGCAGAACGGAGGAGAAGGGGTTGCAGCATGACCATCCACTGGGGGGGGAGGAGTAATTTATTTTACTTTCTGTCTCTATTTGTCTTTTTGGCGAATGCATATGCTCACAGAAACCTCTCAAAAATAAAAACAAAACAGTCGCGTGCTGGTCCAAGCTGAACCTGAAGGCAGATGTGTGTGTTAGCTAAAGACCGGAAGAACCCAGCTACATGCGTCTGAGTGGCACCGAAGCTCGTAGGTCTACTCCATAGGAACGAGGCTCTGCTTCAGAGGATGGAAGCTCGTTTTAGAGTTCCCGCCCACACCGCTTTTTCACTTACAGAATAAAAATGAAATATAGGGGCTGCAAATGGTGGTGCAGCAGAAGATGCAGCATTCTGCAGGGCAGTCTCACGAGGGAAGGTTCCAGGTTCAAGTCCAGAGATGTCTCTGAGTACCCTGGGCACACGTGTGCCGTTGATCTGGGGCTGGCTGAGAATGGGAGTGGGTCATGGCATCAGCACCACGTTAGGGTGCTGTCTGTCTGCTTCTTTCATTCATGGAAAAAAATAAATCTTAAAATAAAAAGAGGTGAAATTTGGGCAGCCTGTGCGGCTCTCCCTGTATGCACCAAGCATTGATTCTCTATTGCTTTAAAAAAGTTTTTTTTATCATTGTATTCTTCCAAAGTAGCTACGGTTCCCACTCCCCCAAGGAATAGTACACAGGCCACCTGTTAGCTGAGAAATAGTCCCATCTGGGTCCTTGCCAAGAGAGAAGCTGGAATGGCAAGAACTCATCAAGTCAGTGACAGCTGGGAGTGTTCATTAAATCTCATTTTGTTATGACACTATTTGTTTCTTTTAAATAACATAAATCTAAGAGTGCTGCTTTCAGCATAGAAGCCTATGGGCTCTGGTGGTTCTGAAGTGCATGGGGTGGGAGGGCTGGGGTCTGCCTGGAGTCTGCAGGGGCCAGCTTCTCGGACCTGTTAGCATTGATGAGCCCTAACCGCTCTGCTCGTTCTTCCGTCTCACCACTGAGGGAACACCATGTTGGCGCTGGACTGCAGCCTTGGCAAGGAGGGCCGCCCCAGGGCCAGCCGGTGGTGTGGTGGTTAAGGTATCTGCGTCCCGGGGCCGACTAGCTAGCCAGTGGTGTGGTGGTTAAGGTGTCTGCATCCCGGGGCCGACTGCAGTAGAAGTCCTGGACCAAGTGGCTTGAGGGACATGTGGGGTGCTGTGCATGCGTACCCAAATCCCAAGAGCGGAAGGGATTGCAGTGTGGCCATCCATCCAGGGGAGGGGGTGCTTTCTCAGTTTCTCTATATATATATTTGTTTTTTCCAGTGAGTGCATGTGTCTTATAGCAAATAAAAAAAAAAAAAAAGCCACTCTGAGCACATGGCACTGAAGGCTGGTGGGCACCCAGGGTGCTCTTGGGACTAAGTGTGAAGTGCTGCTCCCGGTAGTGTTGCTGACGAGCATGGTCCAGCTCAGCCTGGGCTCCCAGGCCTTTCCTCCGCAGTGGGCAGCATTTGCCGCAGTCGAGGCCCTCGCAGCAGCTCCTTGAGTTCAGTGTATACAGAAGTAGATGTACTGACAGCTTCAACCATGAGAGTACCTACCCATCTGAACTGTTCATATACATGATGTCAGTTCATTAAGCTTTCTTTTTTAAAGAATTATTTATTTAACTTATTTATTATTACTATTTTTTCACATGAGTTCTGCCAGAGAGAGAGAGAGATTGAGAGTGAGAGAGCAAGCCGCCAGATCCGGGACTCGAACTTGTGGTCGGCCACGTGGGAATTTCAGTACCTTAACCACCACGCCACCTGTTGGCCCAAGCAGGGTGTGTGCCCTCACCAGAGAGGGAGAAAGACAGACAGACAGGGAGAAAGCATCCCCCAACGGGGTATGGTCACACCATCATCCCTTCTCTAACATGTCCCCACTGTGTTGGGATTTGGGGCATGCACACACATGCCTGGCTGGCGTGTTTTTCAAGCCCCCATGCCAGAATTCAAACTGCGCAGTCGGCCTTGTGAGATCCAGCGGAACTTAACCACCAGGCCATGGAGGCGGCACACACCTGTTTTTGAAAAGCGTTTTATTATTTCATTATAATTTTACGAGATCACCGAGAGAGAGGTGGTGCTGTAAGGGGAGGAACAGAAGCTTATGGCGTCAGGTCGTCTGCCCACAGTTCACGAGAGGCGAAGAGCTGGGATCGGAGCCCAGGCGTGTCTGACCCGCTGACCCATGGCGCTCTTTCTTGAGCTGTGCGATCACCTGCTTCCCAGGGGCAGCCACGGCCATGTCAGGACCGGCATCGGTGCCCCTTAGTGGCAGCAGAGCGTGCATGCCAAGGGCTCTCTGGCACCGGCCCGGGGCTGTCAGACCCTGAGCGAGTCACCAGATTTCTCTGAGCCTCCCTTCCGCGCTTACAGAAGTCCCCAGATGGTCGTGTATGGAAGCAGAAAGGAAGAAACTGGAAAGGAAAGAAAGTCCTCGGTGTCAGAGCGGGGCTGCTGGAGAAGGAGGAAGCTCTTGATGGGAGAAAACGCGGAACTGTGCATTGCATATGTGGAGTTGGAAACGCCGCGGGGCCGTCTAGGCGGCCTGGTCGTTACAGCTGTACCGTAGGACGCGGATGTACTAATGCCCGGGAGACTCAGTCCAGGGGCTGTGCTCGGTATACGGTAGCGCTCTTACTAACAGTAATTAGTACCACTTCATGGCCTCGCCACTCAGCTGGGTGAATACGCTTTGTGAAACACCGTCGGTGAAATTGTCGGTGTTGTTTTACTTGTCAAAGCTTTTCGTTCAAGTTTTGGAAAGCGTCCAGCGGTCGGAATGAGATGGCTGCACAGACCTTCCACCAAACCCTCAGGCCCCTGCTGCTCGCGGAAACAGTTTTCTCTCCTGACGTTAGGCCTCCGTTGTGCGAATGTGTTTTGGAGAGAGAGATGTAACTATGTTATATCCAAGCGCTCCATGGTGCAGTTTTCTAGTTTTGCTGTTACAAATCCCTGCCTCTAGAAGATGGAACTGGAGCTTGATAGGCCTCTCGGGGTGTGTGTGTGAAAGCCCTCCCTCGGCGGTGCAGCACGGGGCTCCGAAGTAC